TGTTTACATACGGGCTTGACAATGCCCAGCCTCAAAGCTGGTGCAAGGCTTTCTTATCTAATAGAGCAACGAAACACAAGACAAACTGGGGCTGCAACGTACTTAGCTACGGTCGTGAGTAGCAGAGGGTGCAGGCTAGCAGGACCAGACAAGGCGTTCAGATTTAACTGGAGAAGGAATTGCGTAACAGTTTTCGTATGGATCTCAAGAAGGGCCAGCAAAGATGAGCAAGGATGTACCAAGTCAGAAAACGGTTTCATTTGTAAAAACGGATGAATACTGTTGGTGCTAAGAGATCCGCTTTCGTAGAATCCTTCTGAATTCAGGCAGCGTGATTACGGGAATACAGAGGTGGAATGCCATTGCCACCTTTGGTGACCATGTTCAGATATGAGAAGAACTTTTTGGGGAGCACCTGGACTGCACAGCCAATCGAAACTCGTAGATTTGGCGATTCTCCTGCTTTTTCAGGATACAGGTTTCCAAGCATTTTATATTCCAAGTAGTTGGCCGTCGATTGTGTACACTTGAAGCCGTTCCATAATTTGCGTCTTTATTTCCTCAGAGCCTTCAACTGTTTGTCAAGCCAAGGAGGACAATTCCAAGACCTCTATTTTTAGAAATAGCAACAACCTGCATGATTAGCGACATCATGTTAAAGTAAAAGTGCGTCCAAGCATCGGCAACACAAAAATATGAGGAATAGTCTAGTGCAGGTTAGAAGCAGCCTCTGCAGACGCCGCGGATCGGCTCGATAGCAATTACGCCGGACAGCCCCCTTGGTCATGAACAGAAAATTGACTTGCCCATTGGAAGTAAATAGGTCGCATAACAACCAGGTCGGTGGCGAATGACGGCAACGGGGATAAAACTAGTTCACGAATGTGCGGATTGTGGCCTGAGAATAACCGAGTGGTTAAAAATACACGCTGGAACATGGTACAATGGAGGACGGTTTGAAGGAGAAGGGCATTAAAAGAGTCAGAATAAGGCCCACAATAAATCAGGTTCCACTCAATGCCAGGTGTATTTTTCTTCAAAAATTAGGTAGTCCTTACCTTTTGCGTGCGATTTAATTGAATCCAGCGGAAGAGCTCCTGAACCCAAGGGAAATCTATAGACGACACATACCAGGGGAGATCTACACCCGTTATGAACATGACACCACCGAACTTTGAAGCCACGATTTATATCACAAATAGCATTAAGCAAATGTGCCTCAAGGATCGTCCTTCAGTAGAGTATAAAGCCACCGACTGACCACAATCCGTGGCGATCAGCTCAGGAGAAGAGATATCCAGGGATATATACTACTGGGTCGCGGATGTTCGGGACAGCCACGCCCTACAGAAAGCCATCAAATCAGGGTGATTATCGATTGCAAGAAGTTGAATCTCGTCCAATTAGTTCCGCAACCTGCGCAGATAAGCGGACAACACACTCATACCGTTCTTCGACCTTACTGTCCGGGTAGGCCAAGGATGGGTCTCCAGCGAGCTCTCGGGGTTTCCAGAACCACACGAAAATCCACGATGTGAAGGTCCGTATCACCATTTGCCAGGCGGGTTCAAAATTCATCGAATACACTCTTCATTTGCTTTGATCCTCAGGGGACCGATCAACCAACTAAATAAATAAATAAATTGTATATGGCTCGACGATGCGAGAAGCTGTTCCCAGAAGGGACGGATCAAATAATGGTACAGCAGTTTCATATCATGGTATAATAAATTTAAGAAATGTGAGCACAAAATGAAAATTTGTGTAGCGCGAAGAGGGCCAAAATATTTACATTCCTCTTGTTCTATCGTCTGCCAAGTTTTTAGCAATCACACGAGAGTTGATCCCACACAAAAAAGAAGAGAGAATAAAGTACTGCGGGCCAACAAAATATAACCACTTGTGCACTTGACCACATGCATTTTCAGGCACCATTAACTCCGTTCTCAAAAGCGTTAGCTAAGGACTGTGCTGTTCGAAACATTATTATCACATTTTGAACGGATAGATGATCTTTTATCGAAAGCTTGAACAAACGCAATGTGCAACAAGTTCTGATAGCTCTTGGAAGTTTGTTCCAAAGCTTTGAGCAGTGTATTAAGAAGAAAGCCCCCCTAATTCGCGTATTGAACTTTGGAATCATGACCGTTGTCCCCTTATTTCGTAGCTCGTATCTAGTGTTAACGGACATATGGACACAGTTAGCATAATTGTGCAGGTGATGGTGAATTATTCTGTATAGGAAACACAAGTTCATCTTCATTATCCGTAGTCAAAGTGGGTCAAGTCCAAGTTTTTCACTGCGCTCTCTGTAGGTCATCTTGGAGGAATATCCGCACAGCTTCTTTGTAAAGCGTCGCTGTACCCACTCAAGAGCACGCTGGTCAAATTTCCGCAGATTCGACTGTAGTAGTGAGCAGTATTCCATGCCAGGTAACACACATGTTTTGTAAATCCAGATACGAGATTCTGTGAGTTGAAATTTATGACAGATAAAGCCAATAGTCTTCATGGCTTTCGAAACTTGGAAGTTACCATGTTCCGAAAAGTTGAAGGTAGTGGAATACCGCACACCCAAGTTGCGAATCACTTTGCACTGTGATATAAACGTGCCTTGTCATAATAGACTGCCTGGTGGAACTTCGCATTTGTACGACAGAGTATTACACTTGTCCACGGAAAAGGACATCTGCCACAGTTTGAACCAGGATTCAAGTGCCGATAGATCTTCCTGAATGTGGCACAAGGATGCGCGGGTATCTGCACTTTCTTGTGAGTAGACGATTTTAATGTCATCAGCAAACAGAAAAGTAGCACCATGTCTTATTCTATGAAATACATCGTTGACGTAGAGGAGAAATAGAAGTGGACCAAGTTCACTTCCCTGCATTACTCCACTGGTGACTGCCTTCGGTTTAGAGACACGGTCGCTAATACGCACCACCTGATGTCTGTCAGCAAGGTATGACGACAACCAAGAAAACCTTGATTCTCCAATACCTATTTCCTTCAGTTTGAGGAGTAGTCTTCGATGCGGCCCTCTGTCGAATGCTTTTTGCATGTCTAAGAAGAGGACAATAACACTGTTGCCTTTGTCTATGGCAGCCGTTGTGTGGTTTAAGAAGTCTGTCTGGCTGGCATAAAAACCAACACAAAGTTGACATCCACCAACGCACCCCTAACAACAAAAATCCTGTATTGCATGTATACAAACTCCCAAGGCCTTCTAAGCAAGTTGGGCGAATATTGGAAAATTCCGTGCCTCACAACTGCGGAACATCATCACGATTACAAAGACCTGGTTTAACCCTGAGATAACCGATTCTGAGGCCAATCTACCCGGTATTTCGCTGCTTCGGAATGATAGAACCGGAAGGCGTGGCGGTCTGATTTTTAACTTTCATACAAAGCTCCGATGTGAAGTTATCGATCACCTATGGTTGCGAAACAAGGACACAGCTTTACTAGCGGTGATTTATCGCCCACCAAACACAACGTCGGAAATGGACTATAACTGAACCACGTTTCTCAGTTTGATTTGAACAAGTCCTACATCCACATTCTAATCGCTGGAGACATTGACGTGCACGACGGAGAAATCTCGGCAACCGACGGTATGCAGTCTAAAGCTTACTTGCAAGTGCAACCTCCTGTGCAACAACGTATTCTCCCCAACCAGGTTTCGAACTGCTAACAAGCCGTCGATACTGGATATTGTGGTAACAAACGAAGAACTCATGGTTTACGGGATAGTTACAAACACATCACTAAGTCGCATTGAACACTTTAAGCTACCCTTTACTATATAAGCAATGCGGAGAATCCATTAAAAGAAGGATGATAAAGTGCATACTGTCACACACTACCATGTGTTATCTAAGCTTGTTAAGGATACATCTTAGACTTTCTTAACTGAACGCCCCTCTAGATATTACCTTGGAAACATTTACAAGAACATTTGGCACACTGTTTACGCACGCATCGGAACGGAAGTCCCTTCAAGCCAAAAACAAGCATAAGTCAATTCTGAGGAGCAGGACACTTACATGTATGTCCCGGAGGGATTTGGCATGGCGAGATCACCAGGACTGCTCAAATGCTGAGATCTGGACTGCCTATGTGACATATCCTAACTTCTGTGT